GCATCTACCACGGCACAAGCAGGTGGCAGGCCGGAAGATTTTGAGACGTCTATGTATAAAAGATTCCAAAAGTTACTCTCCAATTCTTGGGTTTTTTCAGTTATTAAATTATTGAAGACGTAATATCTTTCTTGTGCATAGACAGCGAAATGTCAAAAGAGTAGTCTTTCAAAACCCACGGAGGTTTAACACCAAAATACCGGAAAATTTTTAAGGGAATGTCCAATTCCTTTGCGAGGTACAGACAATAGTCAATTGCGGATGGTGACTTTCGAATTTTCTTGGCAGTAATAATCCTTCTTACATCTTCACCGAGAATAGATTTGCTTGAATTAAGAAACTTGGGGACTATTTTAGTTTTTCACTCATCTTTTTTCAATTATAATAATGTTGATGGGCGTCGTCAAAAAAACATAGCAACTTGCTCTGACGGCTTGGTGATAGACCATTTTAAGGATGTTGATATTACATTTGGATCTATCGCCATAAATTATCAAAGGATAGTCAATCTTGTTTAAAACATGTTTTTTAGTAAGATAAGCAACGCTGTCAATGTGAGCATGGCTTTTCCAAGCAACGTACTGTATGAAATTCACCCTTGCTAAAATCGAATAAATTATAGAGTTCTTGCTGACAAAACGATTGCGACGGTGGGATATAGAGCGAAAGCAATGTAAATTTTATGTTTAAGATTATTTGTATCGCTATGGCTTGTATGAGCTTAAATTAACGGGTTTGTAAGGTATATTTGATTTTATAAAAACATCAACTCCTTGTTTGGAATATGAATTTTGATCAGCATTCGTAAAGTATCCAGTACATGATACGGGTGTAATTGGATTAAAGCAACTTCTACAATGGGTCTTTCGAAGGAATATAAAGGTGGGATTTAAATCACTTATGAGTGTACGGGGTCTATCAAAATTATTAATAAGTCCCTTAATGTTCCTTTGTAGAATTTAGAAACTTTATTTAATTGTAATGACATGAAAAAGGAGTGGTAGGTGGGTTATATTGATATGTCAGCGTCTCCGTCGAAAATGCCGCTATAGAAATTTTGCGTGAATAATTTCATCTTACCAGCAGCATAATCTATGCTTATGTGGTTGCTAAGATTTGAAGTGCAACGAGTGGGCACACGTGAATAATTTGAAACTGAAGGTTGATTAAGGGATGAAAGATTGGATTCATTACAAATTGTAATTTGTGGACTAGAGTTGAGAGCTGGTGCTTCTGGGGAATTCAGTTGATTAGGCTTTAGGATAGGTGTTGTTTTAATTGTTTTTAACATTTCTGGTGCTTTGATTTTTTCAATACCATTTTTGGCGGGTGAAGAAAATATTGAATTGTAGATCAATGGTATTTAAGATTTACATTCAAAACAAATTTTGATTACTTGAATACTTTTAGTTGGTTTTCTCAAGTAACTTTCATTTCCTAAAGCATAGTTTACTGCATACATAAGTAATTAAATTTTTAATTTTAGTATATAACATAAGATAATATTAGGCACTGGATGCGGTACTCAAGATACACTTGCAGCACTTGACCACTCTTTCTTCTATGAAACGCAGTCGTTTTTCGGAAGGTCATTGAACTATGCGCTTTAATCAGCGGACTTATATGTGTAGTCGTACGACATTACGTTTCACTCTTTATGACCACAACAAGCAATTTTGTGTTCATTTATGTATATATCTTGCAAATAAATAACAATCTGAACTGGTCTGCTCACCGCGCGTAAGATATATTAAAGCTTGGCGTACAGCCAAAATATTTTAAAACATTAGTTAACTACGAACAAATTGCATCTTAGTATAATGATGGGTAATACAATGAGTGCAAGAAAACAACGCCGCTTTTTTCACGTTTTTTTTGCAGCATCACTCACTTGCGATACGTGTAAATGCGGTAAAAAATGTTTGCGTTGTTTGTTAACAGGTTTCCGTCAAGGTTCACAATTGTTTTGAGGGTACTGACGACACCTTTTCATGCACAAATGTTTGCGTTTATACACATTGCAGACGACGCGGAAAATGCATTGAACCTCGTATACTTAAAGGGTAAAGTTCCCAATAAGGAGCGATTTGTGCAATAATGTTTTCTGAATTATTGAAAATGTAATTAAGGCAATAAGCATAGGAAAGTAAATTTTAGATATTTTACAATGTTACTACTTAATTATATTACTGTACCTATACAGATGCTGTCAGCATCTGACTGGAAAAATCAGAGATTGAGAGAGAGAGAGAGAGACAGACAGAGTGGGAGAGAGAAAGAGAGCGAGAGAAAGGCAGAGAAAGAAAGAGTGGTAACTTTTTAGAAAGACGTTGGAAAGAGAAACGCCAACGTAAGAAATAAACGCACGAAGTTCTATTGAAACCAAAAACGATTTTATATATTGAATTACGAACGCGTACTCAGTGGTTACATTCAAAACAAATATAAAAGGAAAACAGGACAGAAATAGAGTTTATATATATATATATATATATATATTTGCGTTTATACATGCGCTTGTGTGAGTGTCCGTGTATTAGTGTTACGGATTCATTTATATATCTTTATTTTAATATATACGTTGCATTCAAACTCCAATAATCCGTGGTAGTTGCGTCGAACAGTAATGCAAATGAGAACTGATATCGTTTTTATAATATAAATCCACACATTCTCTATTTTTTGTGACTTTTTTTAGTGAAGTTTAGAAATCAAGAAAGGCGGAGGTACTGTTTTCTTTAAAATAAAATTGAGGTGGATGTGTAAAACTTAACTTATTAACGCATCAAATCACAAGAAAAATCATAAAAAAATAAAGAAACTTTAATTAATATAATATAACATTTCTTGATTAGTGCTAACAAATTTCCGAGTGCAGCAATATGAAGGAATTGTTTTACTCATGTGATAAGTTTACGCAAGTGTTTGTAATCATTTACTTTCTATGTTTATGTGATCTTCCCTTCTTTCGAATTTTCATCCAATGCTTCGTTAGCCCGTCCAGCCATTCGTTAATAACTTCATCCATTTGCCTTTCTATTCGTTTCCTGCCTGTAATGACGTAGCTACGTATGGAATATTTCAATGAAAAATTTTTCACATATTTATAAGGCATGGTCATTATCAATAATTTCCTCGAAAATCTTCAGGCGTTGAAGAAGCGTTGTTTGCTTGATTACAATCTGCTAACATTAATTAAAAAAGACAAGTATTGGACAAATTTTAAAATTTGTAGTTAATTTATTGCAACACAAACTGAAGAGAACGTTTTTTTATTATGTTATCTTCAATTTTTTAAAAATTTTTGGACGAAGTTCTTTTGAGTTCTAACAAAGAACCGTGATCCTTTCTTAAAGCACTGTTTTATTGGGAATAAGAACATTGAGTACCGTCAAAAAACGAATTAGCAAAATCTGCATTAAATTATTTATATATCACTAAGTGCAAGTTTAAATTAATTTAAATTTATCATCGTATCAAGTTTTTGCTGTGGGAACATTTCAATTATTCGAAGCTAATGTTTAAAAGCGTTAAAGAAAACAAAAATAAAAACTAAAAAAGACGGAAATTAAATATTAAAAAATCGAAAAAGCAAACTTATGTTCTATTATTTTTACATTTAATAACGTTTTTTTATTCAAATACAAAAATTTAAAAAAAACCTAACATTAAGAGAATTAGATACATTTATTTCCCAACATCTTTCCGTCGTCCGTCGTTTTAAACAACTTCTTTCCTTCGCCATTATTTGTTAAAGAATTTTGACGACTGACGATTGCTTTCAAATTTCATTTATGAATATCAAACACAAATTAACGTCAAACGTTTCGCTTTCGTACTTCGTTCGAGATTCGGAAATGCAGAAGAGTTGACCTACAAGACACGATCCCATCGACTTAAAATTACGGTAGGTCAAGAGCGAATATGCTTCTGTAGATCTGCATACGTTTGTGTGGCTTTACGTAAAAGGTATCCAAGGTATCCACAAATGAGCAAAAGTTCATTTAGTATGCATAAGCAGTTTTTTTTCCTACGGCGGGCGCTACAAATCAACTGGTGCAAGCAAAAAATGCGAACATGCTTTACGCATTCTACTCTCCGCTTTCATTTATTTGATAATAATATTAAAATAACCCTCTTTTAGGCAGATAATATATCTTCATTTGAGAAATTTGATAAACATATTAAGACAAATTTTTTCGACTATATTCTTAAAAATTCTGAGTTTAATAACTTAATTCTCCGCTCAGCTGTTTTTATTTTGCAAAAAATTATTGCGCAAAGTAAATATTATCACATTTCTCCCATATTTCTCAATTCATTAAACCCTCATTAATACCACATTGTTCCTTTTTTAATTATACTAAAGGTTGTTGTTGTCTTAAAATAACATCTTACCTTTCTTCAACTAAAAGTTAACTAAACTGCATAGAAAAATTTTTAATCGTTACTTTTTAAGGTTCTTTCAAAAGAAACATTGTGCAAAACATTTTGAAACGCAAAATAGGAAAAGCCTGTTAATAGCAATTGAAGAACAAATTTAGGCAATTTTTGGCGTAGATTCTGTAAATTTGTGGTACCCTAAATACAAATAGTTGAAAGAATAATTACATAATTAAATTATAAATACTCTTTAACTGAAATATCGCTTGAGATAAGACAACATTAAATAAATTTGAACGTTTGAGTTTCGTCAAACTGAGCTAGTGCTTTGTAGGTAAAAAAGTATGGCAGACAAAAAAAAATCAAAACAATCGGAAAATATTTGAAACCAAATTTTCTCTTCGTCAGTTTTATCTCAAAAAATAATGTCATTTTTGAGACCTTTTCCGCGAAGTTTACAGGGCTTCCTTTCACACAAACATGAAGACTCAAAACAAGATGATTTTATAAAGGAGTTAAAAGGCGCTATGCGTCATGGCCCGTAATATGTTTACGAAGATTTTAGAACTGACAACTACTTTTTAATTAACAAAAAGAAAAATTTTATCTCATTCCAGACGCTACGAAGAAGATTCTGAAAATGCTTGGAATTGCTGCTCGTGGTTTGAGTATTTGCTTATTGTTATACTATCAACCGTTTTGCTGATAGGTGTTTTGGTCTTGACGTTATTCTGGGTCATATTTTATCGTGGAGGCTTTGCTTGGGCTGATAGCCCGCAACTGCAGTTTAATTTGCATCCAGTGCTGATGGTGGCAGGATGTGTAACATTTTCCGGATTTTGTAAGAATAGTATAAAAATAATTGGGAGTTTTTTTTAATTGATATGCACGTGCTTGCTCTATAGCAATACTTTTATATCGTTTGTGTCGTTGTATAAAACATTTGTATGTGAAATTGACTCATATGTTGTTCCATGCTTGTGCTATACCATGTATTGTTATGGCTTTCCTAGCAGTATTTGAATCCCATAATTTAGTAGAGCCACCAAAGCCGCACTTTTACAGCTTGCATACCTGGTTAGGTTTGATAACAATGGCAATGTTTGCTGTGCAATTTATTGTTGGGTTTTTTAGGTAAGTAACTACATCACTACATAAAAAGCGATTGTCTTACGTAAAGGTTTTGCACTTTTTAGCTTCCTGGTTTTATTATGTTGTGAGAATCGCACTTATTCCTGCCGATCTGCCATGGTACCTATACATGCTAGTTTTGGATTGGCCAACTTTATGATGGCCGTAGCAACGTGCGTTACTGGTCTGGTGGAAACTGAACGCCAACTGGTTGGCGAAACTGGTCTAAGGTAAATTTGAATATTTTTTTATACATATACATATACATTTAGCGAAAGGAAAAATTTTTTTATGCTCAATTCCTATATCCCCATACCTACCGGAATTCTTTAGCACTACCAATATCTGATGTCCTGTTGGGATTCATATAAAAAGACATCAACAAATCAGTGCATACGTCCACTATAAATACTTGCTGATGTTGGAGGCAGCTCCATCCCCTTAATTATACCCTACACCACTTTTGGTACAGAGTGTATTAATTTAATGCGGTCGAATGTAAGATGGATCATCTTTTTTATTATACGGATCGATTTAGAATCATTGAATTGATCTAAGCCTGTCGGTCTGCCTGTCTGTCCTATGAAAGGATGAAACTTGCATTACATTAAGTTGCGTTTTCGGACCGCTTACCCGTAAATACGGACATGAAAAATATGCTTTTATGCAGAATCAAGAGATAATTTTTGTGTTCTATAATAATAATAAAAATTGTGTTAGACGATGTGATGTAGGGTATATAACGGTCGGCCGGCTATAATGTCTTTACTTTCTTGTTTTAATTACTATCAGGAACTAATCTATGCAGCAAATTCCATCAAAATATCTCAAAAATTCCGAACAGCAGTTTGAACACAAAAATACATAAAACTACCACAAATGGTGCAGGGTATAAAAAGGAAAAAGTTAGTCAGAGGTCTAGAAATTAGCGAAAGGAGATAGAAAAGGCCGCAGAAAATGCTTTCCTCTTTTCTCTCTTATTAATTATTGTTGCACTATTTGTCGCTAATTAATCATTCGATTGTCATTGTGACTTCATTACGTCATTGCTGCGCTTGCAGCAACTCATGCTACTTTTATTAGAAACCAATAAAAAATGCATGGGTAATAAAAATATCGCATACTGAAGCACTTGTTTCCTTACCTGACGGCCGATGTAAAGTATTTATTGTGTTAAATGATATATGTTGAAACTTTAACTTCTTTTTTTTGAAATCGTTTTCAGTACTCGCAACTCGGAGATAGAACATTACATCATGAATTCAATGGGAGTAGTATTTGTCGCTTTGGGTATTATTATTTCGGTAGCCGTACGTAGATCTAATGCTCCTGCCACTGCCAAGGTTTATGTAACCGAACGACTTGAAATTAATTAAAGCAAAAGACACCAAACAACAAAATTATGAGAATTCAAACCACCAACAACCCAAAGAACACCACAGAACAAGTCAACAGAAATTTGTCAAATGTATGCTGCTATAATTATATATATTTCCTTAAATCTCTATATGTCCATTAGATATTTGTCTTTTTAATTATTTGACATTTATTAAATTAAGAAGCTAGTTTTCTATAATGAAACAAAACTTAAAACATTTCTTTCCCTTTTTCCAAATACTTATGTGTATGTATATTGTGTCTTAAACTCCAAGACTAGAAGAAAATTAATGCCAAAACTCGTTCTTAAGACGAAATCATCTCGAAAATCAAAGTCAAAATCAAATTCCATTAGATAATCTTGTATTTTATTATAATTATATCCATAATATATATATATCAAAATTAACATTTAAGTATAGTTATAACCTGTAGATCTTTCGCACAAAACGTCTGTGTTGTCATGTAACTTATTGGTAGTTTTTTTCGCTATCACCTTTCACATATTGATTCAAAAAGGTAGAGATAAATATATCATGCACTAAAATATATACAAATGATTAATCATCGACAACAACAAAAGTAACAAAGAACCAAACTTAACAAAACTATTATAATATTTATATTTTGTATTTTGTAAAACACTTAAGCAATAATTGTAATTAAATTTTTTCTTATACAAACAAATAAAAACAAATATATAAATAGTCGCAAGAAAGAAACAAACAGCAATACGAAAATGAATGAGTTTCTATAATTAATGAACAAGTCATTTGGTGGTGTTATTTATTTAAAACGATTAAAATCAAGTTTGGCAACTCTGCGCGTGTCTTGTAGTCGCGTTTTTATTCTGTCAACAAATATATCAATTTTTTTAGTTGTATTTCTTAACTTTTTGCTTTATTCGTGTTTAAATTTAACAATTCTCTTAAAGAATAAAGTGTGAATGTATTGTATATGAATTTATTAACCATTTATGTGAAAAAATCATTTTGGTTTATTGCAAGCAACAATTGAGCTCTTGGTAAAAGTCTCTCTTTTTGCCTTTTAATCTGTGTTTACAGTTTCCGTTAGTTTTCGCTCTATATTTACAGTGGGCAGGGAAGTGAGAAATTTGCTTTAATTTTCCTGAAAATTTGTGCCGTGGAAAAATTATTTATTTATTTATTTATTTTTTTTTCTTTTTCGTTTTTTTTTTCCTTCTTAAGCTACTTTTTTTTGTTTTCAATGGACATGGATTGTTTATTTACTCCATGTCGTGCGAAAACTGGCCCTGAATCTGAACGATTCATTTCTTGCTGGTTGTGTGATCGTTTTGGACATGCAAAGTGTGCTGGTATTACCGGCCGTGCTGCTGATGCAGTCCTTGACCCTTCTAAAGGTTTACGATGGTCATGTCCTGACTGTAGAAAGCGGGATATTGATTTCTACAAGCTCTTCACGGAGACGAGAAATTGTTTCTCAGATTTGAGCAAAAATCTCGGCTCTTTGTGGGAGAAGTTTGAATTAATCAAGACTAGGTTTGATGAATGTCGGTATATTGCGCAGTCATCTTCCTCTCCAGCTAACATAGTCTCAACGCGTAGCGTAGCGTGTGGTTCGTCACCTCCTAAGTCCGTTTCGTTGGTGCAAGTTAGCGATTCCCTAAAGGCTACAAATAATGTTAGTGTTTCTGCTACGGCTGAGTCGGTTGGTAACATAGATGTTACAAATAGTCCGAGAAGTCCTTCTGGCTTGAGCTATGCTGAAGTGGCAAGGGTATCTCCTCCCATAGATGTCACTCAATCTTCTCAGGCGTCATTGCCCAAAACTAATAAGGGTAATAGTAAATCGTCCTCTCCTCCTCGCTGTTCGGGTGTAAATGCTGGTCGCCAAACTGAGCAAGCTGCTCGTGCAAGTGTGGTTACGCTCTCTATATTTTCCCCAACTCATAACTCCCCATCCGTTAACCCTGCTGCTCCTAGTACTGATGACATATGCTTGAAGGCAGTTCCTCCTAGAAAGGCCATATTTGTGTCAAGACTGGCACCAGATACATCTGTTGAAAACATAAGGGGTTATCTGGCTGCGAAAGCCCCTTCTGTCAATTTAAAGCGAGTTAGTATTTTCAAACTGGGTCCTTCTCAAGCTAGAGCTATCTCATCTTTTAAAATTCTAGTTCCGACCGAAAATATGGATTTGATTTTAAATAAAACTTTGTGGCCGGTTGGATCATTAATTAAGGAATTTATCCCTCGGGACCGACCCCGTAATGCGAATGCATTAGCTCTTTCCCCTTCAAAAAACTAAATACTTCTTCAGCCTCATTTTCTCTCATTTATCAAAATGTTAGGGGCCTAAACTCAAAAATTCGTTCTACCTTCCTAAATTCAGTGAGTACGGAGTTTTCCTGTCTGGTCTTCACTGAAACATGGCTGAAGCCAGTTCTACATTCGTCGGAACTTTTCCATAATTCGTTTCAAGTTTTCAGAAACGATCGTTTGTATCGCAATGGTGGTGGTGTTTTAATTGCTATTTCTACGGCACTCCCCACCTATTCGTTTGAATTTCCAACTACTCCCGATGTTGAATTTATCGCCATTCGAGTGAAATTTCCTAACAAACACTTATATGTGACCTGCTCCTATATTCCCCCAAATTCGGATATCTCTGTATATAAGAAACAGGCCGCCCTCATTTGTTAAGGTGCCAAGCAATCTAAATCTACCGATATAGTCCTTGCGTTGGGTGACTTCAACTTGCCTCAAGTCAATTGGTTTTACAGTGATAGTTCTGGCTGTTTGATTCCTTCCTCAACATCTGATAAAGCCGTTGTGTTCTTCAATGAATTATTTGATAATAATTTAGTTCAATACAATGGTACCCCTAATTGTAATGGGAGATTTCTTGATCTCTGCTTTGCAAATTTTCCTGAGGTTTGCGTTAATCGTTGTCTTCCGTTTAGTTTACCTGAGGATCCATATCATCCAGCATTGGGTGTTTCCTTTCATTACAAGTCTGTTGGTTCGTTGAACCTCTATAACGTTCCAAATTCAAATTTTTCATATCAACGTTATGATTTCCATAAAATCAATGTTTCCATACTAAAATCTCATCTTTCTCATTTTGTGCTCGATTTCTCAGAGGGAAGCATTGATAGCTTACTGTCGTCGTTCTACAATGTATTAAATCAAGCTATTTCTGCATCCGTTCCGATCAAGCAGTCCCGTCCTCGAAGTAAGGATCCCCCGTGGTTTAATAAGACAATTAAATACTACAAGAATAGGAAAAACAAGTTGTTCAAAAAATTTTCGAAAAGTGGTTCTTCTTTCGACTATTTCGCTTACTCTGTTGCAAGGCATAAATTTAATTCCCTCAACCGCCAATACTACTGCAGATACCTTCAGTTTGTTAAATCCTCCTTGTTTGCTAACCCTAAATACTTTTTTAAGTTCGTTAATTCCAAAAGAAAAATCTCCATAAACCCTTCGTTTGTGTCTTTTAATGGCTCCGAGTCCTCGGATGATTTTGAATCCTCAAATCTATTTGCGGAATACTTCCGACAGAACTTTTCAACTGCCAATTTTGATTTATCGGAAAATTATCCATATTCGATTTCCAATTCGGTTTCAATTCCTAACTTTGTTATATCGGAAAATGACGTTTTTGAAGGATTGAACTCTCTGAAATATAATTGTTCGCCTGGACCCGATGGCATCCCCTCATGTGTACTTATATCTTGTGCTGGCGAGCTTTGTGATGTTATCTCAAACATTTTTAATAAGTCTTTGAATTTAGGTGTTTTCCCTTTGTGTTGGAAGACTTCTTTCCTTATTCCTATTCACAAAAGTGGTAGTAGGCAACTTGTAGAGAACTACAGAGGCATCGCCAAGTTGAGTGTCTTACCTAAACTGTTCGAGCGAATTGTGGCTCAGCATATAGCCTTTTCCATGAAATTGTATATTTCTCCTTTCCAGCATGGTTTTCGAAAGGGAAGACCAATCTGTTGGAGTTTACTTCTCATGTTTTCAAGGCTTTTTCTAGTGGTTCTCGCACTGATGTCATTTACACTGACTTTAGCAAGGCGTTTGATATGGTTAATCATAGACTTCTTAGATTTAAAATCCAGACCTCTGGCTTTCCTCTCTTCTTAGTTGAATGGTTAAGCTCTTATCTGTATGGTAGATCATTCAGGGTTTTGTTTAACCTCATTACCTCGGATGAATTTCCCGTGACGTCTGGCGTACCTCAAGGTAGCCACTTGGGACCTATTTTATTTAATCTTTACATCAATGATTTGCCCTCCGTGATTAAATTCAGTAAGATTTTAATGTATGCTGATGATGTGAAACTGTTTACTTCTTTTTCCGTAGAATCGCAATCACATCATCTTCAAAGTGATTTGAACAATTTGGTTGCATGGTGCTCCCTCAATCTTCTGAAGCTAAATCTAAATAAATGTAAGAAGCTTTCTTTCTTAAGAAGGAAGTCGTTTAGTACCCAATACTTCATTGATTCGCACAGGTTGGAAGACGTCGATTCGTTCATTGATTTAGGCGTTCTATTCGATTATAGGTTACGTTTCAATTTGCATATTGAGTCCTCGTTAAGCAAAGCTAGGTCCGCTCTTGGTTTTATAAAGAGGTGGTCCAAAGAGCTTGATGATCCTTATATTACTAAAAGACTTTACACGTGTTTGGTTAGACCTATTCTTGAGTATGCCTCTGTTGTGTGGTCTCCTTCATATAGATGCTACGTTGGTTCAATTGAATCTATACAAAAGCAATTCTTGCTGTTTGCACTTAGGAATTTGGGTTGGGACCCGATTTCCCCTCTTCCACCCTATGAAAATAGGTTGCTTCTGTTATCCTTACCGTCACTCGAGAAACGTAGATTTGTTCTTGGGGTTTCCTTCCTAATCAAATTAATAAATGGTGCAATTGATTCGCCCGCATTACTTCGTGAGATTTGCTTTAATGTCCCTAACCGCTTCTCTAGGTACTTTATGTTGATAAAGCTTAGTCAATGCAAATATAACTTTGAACTGTTTAACCCGCTCAGAGTTGTTTGCAAGAACCTAAATGATGTCTATCATCTATTCTCATTAACGGACTCTTTAAAGTCTATTAAAGCAATATTGCTCAACAAGCGCGATTTACCTATGTCGTACTTAAACTGATTTAACCTTAGATTTTGTCATTATGAGTCGAAAATTAATTTGTTGTTAACAATTATCGGTTGCCAAGCTTATGCATGTTTGCGATGGCTTAGGGGTTCACTTGCAATTTGGTCCTGTATCGGTTGTGGGCGTGGCTCTATGCTAATTGTGTACATGCTTTTTTTTTTTTTCTCCTCCTTATTTGTTTTATTGTACTTATACTAAGTTTTATTATTAAATAATTTTAAGATTTACTTAAGAGTCAATTGAACTCGACTGCCATTTTGTTTTAGTTGAGTTTCTTGTATAAGTGGAATAAATAAATAAATAAATAAAACGTTTGAATTTTCAAAGTTTGTCCTAAAAAATAACGTGGACTTGTAGCGAATATGTTTTATTCATATTGTGATATAGAGAATATTTTCAGAGTGGAAAAAAAACCTAGGCAGCGGTTAGCGATGGCCCGTGACC